CATTCTTGGGTGACTCTTCCCCTCAAAAATGTCCTGTGACTCTTAGTGGCATTCCTCAAATTTTTGAAGCCTTGACTAGATCATTTTGTGTAATATCCACATCTCTGCTATAGCACAAAATTATTTTCATGTAGTAGTTTGTAATCAACATGTTTTAAGTCTTTTGTTTTAAGATAACACTTAAAAAGAGAATGGGGCTAATTTTGATGATTAGTGAAGGTCATAGTTCATTTATATGTAAACTAGAATTGGTGCTTACCAAATAAAAACAGTATGCCCACATTTTGTATTTAAACAAAAATAATTGAAAATTTCACATGACCCTATCTAGAGCAGTGGTTCACAACCTTCATAATGTTTTAGCCCTTTAATACAGTCCCTCATGTTATGGTGATCTCCAGTCATAAAATTATTTATTTATTAATTGGGGGATTTGAGACAGAGTTTCTCTGTGTAGCCCTGGTAGTGCTGGAACTTGCTCTGTAGACCAGGCTGTCCTTTAACTCAGAGAGATCCACTTGCCTCTGCCACCCAAATGCTGTGAAATTATTTTTGTTGCTACTTCACAGCTGTAATTTTGCTACTGTTATGAATTGTGAATATCTGTGTTTTTCAATGGTCTTAGTTGACCCACATGAGAGGGTCATTTGACCCCCAGTGGGGTCGTGACTCACAGGCTGAGAAACACGGCCTAGAGCGTAAGTCAAATTATTTCTTGGGTGTAATCGAAGCTGTTAGCACGAAACAATCCCTATTTGTTCTGGAAAGATTATAGCTGAGGTAAGGCTAGCTCTGGGGGCTCCCTGAGTCAGTTTACTAAACGGTGTCAACTACAGGTTAGTGATCAGTGAAGGACTGGTAAATGTGTTGATTCATATATGACTGAAAGCCAACATTAATGGAAGCAGTTGTTTAAAAGGAAAAGCAACAAGTGGTTTTGAAGAGTGTTTTTTAAATCATTACATTCCTTAGAATTATAGACAAGTGATGATCAGAATCGATACACCTGTCTGTTGTTCTAGCTTTAAATTTCTACAGACAGAGTGGGCCTTAGTGTCTGTATCACCTCCATGATCATAGTGGACTGAACCACTGAAAGTGTAAGCGAGCCACCCTCCATTAAATGTTTTGTTTATAAGAGTTGCCGTGGTTATGGCGTCTCTTCAGCAATAGCAAGCCCTAACTAAGACAAGCTCATATGCTGTTTGCTTATGCAAATTCTTGAACCTGGCAGCACTTGTCACCTGTGGAGTCAAAGCTCCCTGACAGGGGTCATTGTATCCGGGTCTGTTGAGAGCATCACGGTGCTGTGTGAGACTGCCTTTCCCTCTTGCCAACTTTTCATTGTTCTTCTGTGTTGAATTTCCCATATGGAACACTTAGGGAGTTTGTTTAAAATTGGCCGTCCTGGAGCTGGAATAATTGAGCTGTATGTATTGGTCTCAACTGGTATCCTTGGTCGTGTGGGATGGGCTCAGCCTCCGGCCCTTCCTACCATTACCTCAGCTGTGAGTTTTGAGGACAGCGATGAGAAGAACATGTAGATTTTCTCATTTTCCTCCAGTTCCTCTTCTTCAGCTGTCCAGACTTCTCTCGCTCAGAACAAACACGGTGACTAATACAAGCCTGCAGCAGTGTTGACGGCGCAGGGACGTGGTGGATGAGGTGTCCCCTTCACCTCCAGTCCTGTCTTAGCATTTTGAGCAGCTCAGAGGTCAGGAATGCTGTTGTCATCATGGCTAGAGTTGGGTCCTGAAGAAATTAGCAAGTTAAGGGGAAGATGACTCAGAGCTGCCTAAACCTCATACTCTTGAGATATTTTAAGCAACAGAAAGTCGTAAGCAGCTGTTAGATATCTTTGCCTCTTTGTTCAGGCAGGGCTTCGTTAGCCGGCTCCCTTCGGAAAGAAAACACTCATAATCACCAGCCCATGCCAAACTCCTTTCTTAAAATTGTTAGCTGCACACATAACCTGGCCCATGAAACTTAATTTTATGTAGGATCATCTCATCTCCTAATTATTTCCTGTTGTCTCAATGGATATTAAATTTATTATGGGAGAAAATGTACCTTGCAGTCCTCTTAGTCTCTCCAAACTCAAAGCATCCCCTTGGACACATGATAGATGGTGCACACAAACCCTAGTTTCATTTACATAGGACTTTAGAACACTTTTTGTCCATTTTTCCCCTTTGAATTGCACTACAGCCCCATAAAGGGGAATGCTTTTATCTGTACTTGATAGGTCAAGAAACTAAGGTTCAGGGAGATTAAGTATGCTGGCAATTAGCGGAGTCTGGGTTTATTTACATACATATGTATTCTGAGAGCTTAATTGAAAGGCTTTAAAAAAGGTATACTTAATTTCTTTCTAGTCATTAGATTCCTGTCCTCTATGTCTTTCCTCTGTCTCTGAAAGTACATAGACAACAATTGTGTAATGTGCAAAAGTGTAGATCTACAACCTAATTATTCTTACTTGAATACAGAAGAGCTTATCTGCATATGTAAAGGGAAATGGCACAGGACAAATTCCAAGTTCATAAGTAATCATACATCCATTTGTGAGGTACCCAACATGCTGGCAACAGGTTTTCAGGGAATTCAGGATATTGTCAAGGTTCACTGTTTACCTTACAGAGAAGAGAGCATGTAACAGACTATTTGCTTAAGTAGAGCAAAAGGTACATGCAATTTAAATGTTAAGTCATTTGATTCCATCAATTACAGAACAACCACAGTTTTTTAACATGGTGGGAGAATGGTTTTGAATGTAAGTGGGCCTTTGGGGGACTTCAGCCACTGTGGGATTTCAATGAAGATAATACAGTTTTTAAATTCAAATGTCCATGAGCTGCCACCTTCTTCCTGTGGGTCTCAAGCTGCCGAAAGGGATGCAGCTTTGAGATGATGAAAGACACTTGCCTTAATTAGTTGTTAGGATTCACAGGTTCTTGTTGTAGAAGGTCGTTGAGTATTCGGGCTTCCTACGGCAGTTATTGCTAGGCTAGCACAAACAAACAACCTATTTATATCACCAGAGTAAGAATTTAATCAAATTAAATATTAAAACCCATTAACATGGAAAAAAACCAGAAGTTTCAGTTCAGTTAAATGCGAGCACAACTGTTGCTTCTTTATCCAAGAGATTATAAACATGATGTGCAAACGTTTAGGGTGCAATTAGACTTTTCAGTCATTTTGCTTGTGAAAAATGAACTGTATATTGATATTTGAGAAAGTTAGCTTAATGGATCTGCAAAAGCAGAGTAAGAGTGGCTCAGGCAGGGGTGGGGAAGGGAGGGCCCAGGAGACCATTGTTGTCCATGTCGAGAAATCTCTCTTTCTATCTCCCAATTTAATCTGTCTGTCCCACTTAGTATGCCTTAACCTGGAATAGTTCACTGTACTTCACCATTAAAAATAATGCATGGTCATTTAGATTGATGAGTACTGCTGCCTCCGAGGTTCTGTAAATAATGATAACATTACTGTCTGTTGCATTATGTAAGATCACCTAAATTACAAGCAGAGGATGTATCATGTCATGGTCAAGTCTAATATATATAATTTATAGGTTTAATTCTCAATGTCATAAGTGTCTGTTGAAGAGGGCAAGAATGATGACTGTTACCTGGAAAAATAGATGAAGCCTGGGTAATTTTTTTCTTCTTCTAAATTTGGAGTTTAAAAGATTGTGAAATACGAAGGGACACTTTCTAGTAAGGGAAAAACTTATTTAGGGTCCCCCACCCTCCTTCCAGACTCCATTAAGCCATTAAGTGCATCTTTTCTTGTTTTTTAATTCTAGTATATTTCTGACAGTGCTGTCCATGTGACAGCAGAACTGGGATGGGTAAATGTGCTGGGGTTCCATCACTTTCCAAGTTAACACTGTTTCAGGGATGGAAATGCCACAGTCCACTGGTATCTTCATATGCTTGCGGAATATCCTGAAAAATTATTAAGGATGCTCTAACTGTTATTCTGTTCCCAGAGTCTCATGCTTTAGTATTTTGCTGCTGCTGTTCTTAGAAGTCTTGTTTAGCCAAGTGTCCCCTTCCTGTAGCTGTGCCTACCTATCTCTGCCTATTTATCTTTCATCCAGGACAGCTTTTTCCATCCCTTACTTCATTTGCCTTCATTATTATCATTGTTATTATTATCAGTATTATATTTATTTAGTTTTTGTCATTTTTAACATAATAACTTTGGGCTCTGTCATGGTCATTCTATCATGTTAGGATTTTGCACACACCTTCCAACAATATCATGGATGGGTACAGAGTACTGAGTTGTTCTTCACACACACACACACACACACACACACACACACACACACACTCTCACACACAAGTTTTCTTTGAAAATGTCGTGCATGTATACAGTGTATCTTGATCACTTCTATTCCTCATTCCGCTCCAACTCTTGCCAGGATCTCTGCCCATCACAGCTCTCTCCTAATGTTATGTCTTCATTTTAAAATTATTTACTTTTAACTCATGGAGTCCAGTTAGTGCTGGCCAGACACACAAGAGGATGGGTCATCTACTGCAACATGGGGGACCAATCAGTGACCACAAGCCAAAGAAAACTGCCCCTTTCTCCCCTAGCTGCCATCAACTGCCAATAGTTCCTCAGATAGGTGAGCAGCCTTGGGACTCACTCCCCACTCCATGCTGGAATTATTAACTGGCTTGATCTTATGTAGATTTTTCTTTTTTGTTTGTTTGTTTTGATTTTCAAAACAGTGTTTCTTTGTGTAGCTCTGGATGTCCTGGAACTTACTTGATAGACAAGGCTAGTCTTGAACACACTGACATTCACTTGTTTCTGCCTCCCTGAGTGCTGGGATTAAAGGTGTGTGCCACCACCACCCGGCGTGTGTAGGTGTTTTAATACATGTATTTGCAACTATTCTATTTTTGTATATAAATATGAATCTTTTCTTCAAATGTTCTCTTTTTGTATGTAAATATGAATCTGTTAGTGTAAGTATATGAGCTGTATGAAACAAATACTGATTTAAGCCAAAATGTTGAATGATAGCAATTTCATGTGATCAGACTGCCACAACTTTCCAATTCTTATTTGTTGTTGATTACACTTATATTACTAAGAATTGCCCAGGGTTTTATGCATTCATAGAGACCATTTCCTGATTAAGTTAGTTGTTTTGACTAAAGACTCTTTGTTTTATTCCCTCTCTCACTGACCTCAGCTGACAAGAGACACAATGGTATTGCTTCTGACCTCGTTTGCTTTGGGTATTCATGAATTCCCCTAGTATTGAAGAAGTGTATTCCAACTAATATTTAACAGGGGATGCCTCTTGTACCTTCAGAACACTCTTTCCTGTGTTCTCCTCCCAGTTTGTTTGCTCTGTTGTTCCTTAGATTTTTCTCAATAGCATGCTTCAGATCTCCTGTTACATTTTATATGGACTATTATACTTTTAATATCCAATGCTTTTGTCATGTGTTTGTAGCAGTGTATTGGTTCTGAGTCATGGGTGGAAGTTCTCACCTGTGTAAGCATACTAATAGAACTGTTTCTAGACTTAGTTTTCTTCTTGCATGATCTCTTTTTCCTCCACCTTGCTTCTCCCTTCCACCCCGTCCCCAATGCTCGGTGCTGCTTAAGAGTGAAGAATGGATAAGGTAATTGGGAGGTGTGTGTGTGTGTGTGGCAGAGGTTGTCAATGTGGGTTTTACTGCAGCTCTGAACTAGTACCACCTGCCCTGCTGCTGTCTATGAACCTCTATTGGTCATTGGTGTTCCCAGAAAATGATCCAGGCTAGCCACACAAGGCCATGATAAACTGAATGAGACAGAGGAACGAACATCGTCTACTTTTCTCTCAAAACTGTAAGTCATGTTGTTTTTCTATGAGGCATGGTGTCCCCTACTGTAAGGAGTCACTGTCTTCCTGTCATGTTTGACTGGATGGAGTTATGGGGATGGTTTAGAATAGAGTGCTTGACATGGCAAGATAGTCTATAAACAGAGACTGTTAACCCACCTCTTTGTCTTGTTTTCATTTTTTCCACATTTTCAAAAGTGCATGGCTCGGAAAGGACAGAAAACCCATGGAGGTTTGGCCAAGCAAAGGGAAAGTTTCTTAGCTGCTGTGCAGGTGGGTGATCATGCCAGCTTTCTACCTAAGTTCACAAAGTCATGTTATCCTCATTCTCCTGGTTCACCCCTTCTAACGTTTTCCTGCTGTATTCCTGTCTGTCCTCCTATCTCTTTTCTCTCAGACTCTTCTCACTACTCTCTTATAGGGTTCATTACTATTTAACTACTAATAATTAATGTTTCTTTTTCTCCTGCCTTTCTCTTTGACAACAATAACAAAACATGTCCCTGAATTTCAATACTTTCAACTATATTGACCCTGCAATATTTAAAGATGCTACTTTCTATCTGGTATTAATTTTGCTGTACCGTGATTACATCAGAAAGCGAGAGTGATACTGTTTCTTTGACTCTGAAGGAAGTCATTTGGTAGTCTACTACATGCTAGGGTTTTTTGGGGGGAGGGCCATAGTCTATGCTTGAAAAAAAAAGTGTCTTTGCTTATCAAGGAAAAATATTCTAGGTAACTATAAACCAAACTCCTTGATTCTCAAATTATTTTTAGTTTTGGTTGTCTTTGAGACCGCTTTTCTCCTTCGTCATGGTTCCTCTATCAATGATTAAATAAAAAAGACCTTCTTTCTTCCCTTTGGCATTTATAGAATTAGCCAGAGGGCCAACAGCTGACTAGTACAGGTTGGGGCAGTTCTCCACTCTGGGAGCTTGTCTAACCCTTCTTTCTTTTTATGGATATGACAATGTTTATATTTTTCCATTTGGCTTCTTCCTCAAGAGGCAAAGGCACATTAAAGAGCCCTGCATTAAAGATTTCTATTTAACCCGTAGAACAATCAAGGACTGCAGAAGCAGAAGTGAATTAACTCTCTAAATTTCTAAACTAGTTAATGTAGTTTCTTTTATTAATGTGCTTGCTCCATCAACACTTCTTTCCACTTAACACTGGGGATAAAACCGTCTTTACAGACCTTATGATAAAATATGGTAATATTTGTGAAAGTGCCTTTTCAACAATGAAGTGGTTTATAAATGTCCTCCTTATTAGAGTTCATTACAATTTTCACAATAGCAGAATTCCTCTGAATGCCTGATGCATCAATTAACTATTACTGCTATTAACACATATCAGACACTGTTAGCATTTTCTACTTCAGAAAGGATTAAATATCCCAGTTCTCTCGGAAGAGGAGGCGTATATGCAAATGAGAAATCTGGGAGAGTGAGATCAGTCTAGAAGGAAACTACAGTTAGAGGCTTTGTGGTGGAGGCAGAATGCACTGTACAAGGTCCACAGGGGCTATATATTGCAGATTATAGGTGTTACATCTCAGTGGCATAGTAAGTCGGTTGGGACTATCTGTTCTCTGGGGGAACAGCACAGATTCTTTATTTGATTGTAAAAAAAAAATAAAAGCTACAGTGGTTGATGTTTTGGGGAGCCTGTGGATTACTAATACCTGTCTTGCAGTCAATGGTAATCCACTAAATCTTAAATAAGTGTATGTGGTGTGGTGATGTAGTCTATTGAGACATTAAAACTGTGCAGACTAGATATGTTTGTTTGCTTTTGGACATTTATAGGCAAGCTTCTTGCTGTTGTTTGGTTGGGGCTCCATTTCTTTCTACCCACGGTTGTACCTTATCTATGTACTGTTGTTTTCCTAGTTAAGGCTTGCTAGGTGGGGCAAGAACCCACTTAAGAAAGAAGAGAAGAGGTGTTCAGAGATCTGGGGAGAAATCAGGGGATAGGTATGTCCTCCAGACTCTTGGTCTCTCATCTCCCAGAAAAATGTTAATCTATTGTTTCTATCTCTCCCCACATCCCTTTTCTCTCTCTGTGCCTGTCTCTATCCCTCTGTCCTTCTTTTCATCCTCCCCCTCTGTCCTCTATCCCTTTCCTCATTCCTTCAACATGGAACATGAGTGTGTGTCTTTGTTTTCCTTTGCCTGACCTTTTTATATCTTCCCTGCATCCATTGAGAAGCACTCACTGGGAAATCCTGAGAGAAGCAGGACTCGTCCCATCCTCAGAGAGTCAAGGCTCCAAGTCCTTGGCTCAAAGTTTATTGCTTGTCAATAGCTCCTAACTAATTTATTCAATAGAAAGAAACAATAAAGTCATTTTCAACCCTTAACTTATTTTTCCCAATCCACTAAATTCATAAGCACTATAATCTTGAAAAGCCAAAGACTTTTCATAGTGTTTCCAATTGCTTGTGTTTGTTGTATTGCCATTGTATGAACCAAAGCTAGATCTGAGTTTATTTTGTTATTTTCCCATGTGCTTCTATAGCTATATACAATGGTAGTGGTGACTTGGTTATTGTTCTAAGTTTATATGCCATTTTGTATTGTAGTTTTGCTTTGTTTTGTATTGTTTCAAGTTTGTATTGTGGTTATTTATGTTTAATTTTACCCAGTCTCTTTTTCTTGATTTAATCATGTTTCATTATGACATCAAGAGAATAGAAAATTTTATCCTTCAGCAAGATGTGAAAATATAATATCCTACAATTAAAAATTGTGAATAAATGTATTTGGTTAATTTTCATTTGTTTACTTTAAAATAATTTTAAAGCTATTGCTCTTTTATTTTTAAATCTTAGGAATTTCATCTCTCTTTTTCTGGGTTAGATAATTTATTTACCCAACTTTTGAGTGTGTAGTACTAGAACTCAGTTCCTTAATGCAAGTAAAGTGTTAAAGCTATTGCCTTGCATCCTGAAGGATCAGCAGAATAATTCTGGAGTGTGAAACGTAGCCTACTGAGAGAATTGCAAAGGCATGGATCAAAGCAGATGGTTAGCATTAAACCTTTTGTAATTATAAGGTAAATATTAGTGCTTGCTTGGGCATCAAGATATATAAATCATGGAATTGATGAATTCTAACACAAATTGCAAATCAAGTTTTCTACTGGGTCAAAATAAGTTTGGGGTAATTATGGGGCTGATTTTTTTAAGTCCATTTTTCTGTTGACCAAATAACACAGGCTATAAAAAATAATTGATGCAATTAACTTATAAAGGAAAAACAAAAAGGCTAACTTTGGTTCCTGAATCTTCAGATTTCAGTCTAAGATCAGGTAGCCCTGTTGGCCTCTGGCCTCTGAGGGAGCAGGGTACCATGACGTATGCTGGGGTAACAAGGAAATATAGTGAGACTACAGGACTCTTGTTATTCCCTGTGAGGACATGCCTCCGATGACTTAAAAAACTCCTCCTAGGTCTTACATATTTAATGTATCACTATATTTCAGCAATGGGGATCAGACCTTTATTACAAAGTCAGACACAGCAACAATAATGCTAAATTTATTTAGGTCAGAACAAGGTGAGACTTAAGTACCAAAGTCCTCATGTCTTTCCCTGTCTTGAATGTGATGGAACAAAACTTTCCATCAAGTAGATGAATATTTACTGAAGAAAACAACGAAGTACTCTCAACTGTCCTCTGAGTTCAATTTCAGATATTTAATTAAGTTCTTACAGAGACCATCAGTACAATGCCTTGATTCAGTTATCTCTGAATTTTTATGGAGCTTATTGTGAAGACATGGCCAATGTCTATGATTATTACAGTCGGGTCATAGAGTCCAAAAGAAAAAAAATTAGAGAACATGTAGCTTAGACATGTCAAGGACTCATTTTCCACATGATAAAACTAAAACTGAGCCCTCAGCATGATAAATCATTTGCCCAAAGTCCCTTTAATATAAAGTGGTTAAAAATGAGTAGAGAGGGCTAGACTTCAGTAAATATTCTTAGATTATTATAGTCATGCTTTTCTGTAAGAATCTTTCTAGAATGTCAGACCATGCTATTATCATATGTCCAATAAAAATCAAGCATCAAGAAAATTTTATATAACTTTATATTGAAAGACCATGTAACATTTTATGTCCCTTCTGATGTAGCATAATAAAACTCCTTGTGATTCTCAGATTTTTGAATTATGAAAAGAGAGAAGGTTTCTTGGAAGAGGCATTGTGGTAAATAATGAGGATAAGAAGGGATAAGAGGGGCCTTCATGAAGCAAATATCTGCATCTGCTGGAGCCTGTGACCCAATCCCAGAGGAAGACCAGTCATGAGAGGTAACCCTGGGCCCCAACTCAGTTTATCAAGCAGAGAGACTGTGTGGAGCTGGTCTACAGCATGCAGGGAAGGATTTCTTAATGCCCTTCCATGGGCAAATCTGTAGATCAATGTGCAGGCAAAGAGTCACCAGATGGGAACAATATTTAGAGATATTAATCTGAAAGTGGGTTGTGTAACAAGGATTGCCATGGCAGGGTGACAAGGCTGTGTCGCAGAAAGGAGGTGTGATAAAGTCAGGCTGGGAGGGAACCTAGGGTGTGACTAATGGCAAGGGGTCTCCAGGATGTGACAACTGGTCAAATGAAAGTTTCTTCTCCTTGGTTTGTCTCCTTCTGCCTAGTTCGCTGATGCCATGGTAGATCCATAAGGAGAACAAAGATGTCTGAGAGGGAGACTTTGGGGTTGAGATGAGAGCTTTCTTTTTTCTTTCTGTACGTGCATCAGCTTGAACCATTGGGCAAATGAAAGACTCGGCACTTGGCCTTTTGTTTCTCCTGGGACCTATGTGCATTTTTTTTCATGTTGCATTTGCCTACAGTGTACATTACAATAATTAGGCCCATCTTGTAGGAGAAGCAATATTATAATTTTCGGGGTTTGAAAATTAGTAATGATGATAACATTAATGGCACTCACAATCTCAGTAACCACTATCACTGAACCCTTCCGTAGCTCGCCATTGCCAGGAACTCTTCTCTTCCCATTCTGACCCCTTTCCAGACGGGAGCCTGGGCAAGGTCAGAGCTGGCAGGGAGTGTGCCACCGCTTGCCTGCTACATTGTGTGCGCCTGCGCACTGCACTGCCCGGGGATCAAAGCATTCTTTCTCCTTCCTCCTCTACCTCTTCTCCCTACTGCTTGGCTGCCTTCTCCTGCAGGGGGTCAGACTGGCCACATTTGTACTCTCAGTGCCCAGCTCTTCTATACAAAGTTTTCTTTGTTAATCAGCAGAAGTAAATGCAAATCTGCTCCACGTACAATGAACTGCTTTGAGAAAGACGTACGCGTGGGGACACGGATATGATGACCCGGTGAATTTCCAGATGAGGAGGATCAAAAAACATCTAGGTTTTATTGTCTAGAGATTAGCATTTAAGGGATTCTCCCGCTCTCTGTGTCTCTCTCTGTCTCTTTCTCTCCCTCCCTCTCTCTCAGTGTCTGTCTCTCCTCCCTCCTCTCTTTTCCTGCCTCCTCTTCTTCTCTATATGTGTTCCAGTTCTCCTGGAAGCCAATGGCACCGTGCAATGGAGTTCTGCAATTTTGTTTTCACATTTATATCTGAATCATCCCTCATAGTTTAGTATCAGCACACCAAGGTTCTGCTGTTGCTGAAACAGCAGGGTATGTAGTCTGTGTGCTTTTGCCTGGCAAATGAGCTTTGATACCTAACCTACTCACAATCCCCACAAGGCCTAGCCTGGGAGCATGGGGCCCCATTGCTGGTGTTTGTGGTGAAGCTAGAATGAACCGAAACTTAAGCCCTCCCCTCCGTCATGTTTCTTGGCAAGATATTAATAAAAATCGGTGACATCGTTCACTTTTCCAGGCTGCCTTGTCACTTCTTGCATCAATCAAGCAAACAGTTGGTAGGCTCCTACGAAAGGGAGAGGTGTGTGCGGAAGTGGTCTTTTGAAATCCCAGCAATCTTTGGCTATACCTTACACTAGAAAACCCTCTTGCTGGACTTGGTAGGCAGTTACTAAATATTAAGGTGGGGAGAAAAGGACAGAGACCTGCGTTGTCTCCCTTAATTTTTCCTTCTTTTGTTATTATAGTTGAATCAAGAAGACAGTGGCTTTATTTGACCTTTTCCCCAGGGGAGTAGTAACTATAATGGGTTTAATTAACTATGTGGTATTGACGTAATTAGTTATCATGGTGATTATACTTCTTTAATAAAAGCACTTCATTTGGGATGCACCAGGGTTCGGCAGCGGCCGAGCCCTTCACCTATATTTCATAACTGTCTAGACACTGGAACCGTGCGCATATTTTCCTAGCAGCCCTTGAGAGAGGTTATCTTGCATGGCTTTAGGTAATTGGGAAGTAATGATTTTGCCCCCTGCTTTCAGACTGGCTTGTGGCAAAGAGCAGAGAGGCTGTGGGGGAAGGGCAGCCCCTCATTTCATGTTAACTGAAAGGGGGGGGCAGGACTGCGTTTTGGAAACCACAAGCTCTTAGGAACTGTTTCTTTTTAAGCCAGCCATCAGAGAGACAGGAACACCGGAGGGAATTGGGAGGGGGTGTTTAATCTATGGGTGGATTGCATAAATCTATTTAGATAAATGCACACACTATAGAGACATATGCTTGTATTAACAGGGATCCTGACTGTACAGCCTATGAACAAACACAGCCTATTTTAGTCTGAACAGTAGATGGCTGCTTAAATTTGGTCAGCAGGTGACTGGCAGTGTCCCTTTCACACGGCTCAGTGGACAATGAAGTCAGATGCTATGGGAAAAAAATAGGGCAGTTATAAAAGAAGACACGCAGAATTCAAATAATTACCATATGAAAATGTCGATAATAATATCATGAGACCCCCAAAGAGGAAGAGAACAAAAGCCAAAAAGATTATTGAGCTTGCAGAGAAGGGACCTCAGGGAACGTGGTGCTTGAAGCCCTTTTCCTACTTTTTTTCACTGTTTAAAACTTGGGTAATGGACTGGGAGGGGGGAAGGGCTGGGGAAGGGTGGAGTGCAGGGGAGGGCATTAGAAACCAAGCTGAAATAGACATAGATGCCGCTGAGAAATAATAGGTGTGCAGTCTCTTGCAGGGAGAAGCGCTGTTTCTTTTTCTGTCTCCTCTCCCAGGCTCTCCTTCTTTATTCAAACTGTGTTTTCCCCTGTCACCTCCCCCTGCAGTGCTGAGCAGCTTCCCCTCTGTGCCTCTCCCTGCCTGGATATACAGACCGAAATCACTGCAGGCATTTGACTGCTTCATGTAGCCTCAGAAAGGATACCGTGGGTCATCTCAGAGCCAAAACTAGAAACAAGCACCTCTGAAAAATAGTCCAGCAAATGTAAAAGAAGCATTTCTGCAGAGGTAGCTGCCAGCAAGCCTTGTTCCCTTGCCAGAAGGGGTGCTGGGTGAAAGCCTCTATCCCTCATTAAATCAATAAAATCAAGTGTCCTTTATTTTAATCTTCTGCGCTATAATCCAGTATCAAGGAGAGGGGCCCAGGCTTTTTTATCTCATTGTTTCAGAACAGATCATTTGGATGCGAGTGACAAAAGGTTCATTCCTTAACCTTTGTGGAAATGTCAGGAAAAAGGCAGGTGCGAGGCATTTGGACGCTTTTGCTCTGTAGAGGAAGAAGAAAAAGAGAGAGAGAGAAGAAAGAAAGAAAGAAAGAAAGAAAGAAAGAAAGAAAGAAATAGAAAGGGGATGACTGGTTGGGGGAGGGGTTTGTGACAGGCTAACTACATGTACTGGAGCTTTCTAAGACATTTTGTTTAGCTTGGTACAGTGTGGCAGTGGGGGGGGGGGGATCTACCGTGTGCCAGCTGCAGGAGTCCCCAGATTGAAGACTAACAGCCTCAGATCCTCTTTTATACAGCAGAGGAGAGATTAATACAGGGGAGCTCATCTGTCACAAAATAGAGGGACAATGCAGTTAGTTCTGCCTTGCTCCGTGCATTCAGCCAGCATTTGATCCCAATGTAGCCAAAGGGAAGGAAAATGTGTGTTGCTATCAGCCTGGGACAAGACAAATGCTGGGCTGTCATACCCAAATTTTCTTTTCTCCTTCCAAAATGCCGCCTGTCCTTTATCAGCCTCATTGTGATGAAACCTAGGTGTAGTCACAGACCAACTGGAAACAAACACCCGGACCCTGGCTAAGTTATTCCACAGCTGCTTCCTACTATTCCATGCAATTGATCCACAGCAGAGTGAAGTTTTGTAGCTGGGTCTTAACTACCTAACTTGGTTAACAAGTATTTACTGAGTGCTATAGGACTTACATTCTAGAAGCAAAAAGGGACATCTCAGGAGTCAGGCACATATTTTCCTACTCCCTTCAAGCTTGAAGTCTTAGTAAGGAGATGAAAAACCTGTGGACACACCCTACCCATATGAACTTGGGGGCCCAAAGCAGCAAAAGCAATGGGACAATCTGTGAGACAACTAAACATGAAGTCAAAAAAGTGCTCAGAGAGTCAGGGGAAGCCAGCAGGACAAACTCTTTATCTAACAATAAACAGGGAGTACTCACAGTACTAAGCACTTTTAGGGATGATGTGTTGGATACTACACTACAAGACACACATATAGTTACATTGTCATCCTTATGTCATAGTTAAGGAACCCCGAAGCCCAGAGAGAGAAGCAACTTGCCCAGAGTCACACAGTTAATGAGGCAAAGCAGGAAGCTAATCTTGTAGCCACATCTTTAATCTGCTGGCAAAGAGAGATCAAAGGAGCCAGCAGCCTGCACCTCTCCCCTCCCCTCTTGCTCAGTGATCCCTCCTGTCCCTGCTGAAGCTTCCAGACTCTCATCTGTTTCTAATCCCACTGGATGAGTAGGTTCTTTTCCTACTGACTTCTTTCCGTCAAACAAACTTTATGTCCAAGTCAAATATGACACTGTTTCTAGAAGACTTCTCTTTGGCAACTCATCTAAGGCTGAATAAGTCATGAGTTGTGGATGGAAGTGATGGTCTGTTGTTTGAGGTCCCTTCCTGCTGCCACTGTCTTTCTTGCTAGTACTCTGATCCCTAACATGGACTCCTGACACCCACTGAGCATGCTCTGTTCCCCGCATCTCTCACAACTTGTTGCCTTTGTTTTCACATTGTAGAGGCAACTTGAAGATGGTGAGGCCTCTGTCATCTTCCATGCCAGCGACTGCAATTATAATTGAATAGTAACCCTGGCTCCTTGTCTTCAATTCTTCTGACCCCTTCCAAGTGCCCCTGGGGCCAAGTGCTTGTAAAGTCCATGAGACTGGCAAAGATTTTGTCCTATATCTCCCCGAAAACTTTGACACCATCTAGCAGTAACATCTCCCAGCCTGGTCCCTGTGTCCATTCCTCAGGAGAAACAGCTCTCTGCTGCCCTACTGTGTGAAATGGCTGGGTGCCTTGAGTGTTGGCTTGGAGCTTTGTCCTTTTTAACCTTTAAGATCATCCTTAACCTATCTCAGAAACCTCATGAATCCAGCTACTACCACTGGACTTATTATTTGAAAAATTCTGAACTGTAAAACTCTTAACAAGGTTGGCTATGTTAAGAATTTACTTGTTTACCAGTTGTTTGGTTTTATGGAAAGAATCCACACAGTATGGGACACTAGGCATCTTGAGAAAGATGAAGACATTTGGGGAACACAGACCTTAGATGACATCACATTATGAGCACATAAAGCTCACCTTTGACATCTCAGAACTAAGTCTTCTGCCCAGGAGCTGTTCCCATACTTTTAACTCAGTATATACGTTGGCCTTGTGGTTATCTGTAATATCTTCTAGCTTTTAAAAAACCTCTACTTCCTCTTTCTATGTGTGGGTACATGAACATCCCCCATCAGACTCTGGTGCATACATCCCTCCTTCTACTGCACCCCCTTTCAAGGGCACATTTGGAAACCCTTTGCCTATGCTTCTCATTATTAGATTTCAGAGTCAGATTAGTCCTTAAAATATGGGCTGACTACAAGTATATAAAAATAAAACTGATGCTATTTGGACAAGTTGTGTGTATGTTCACACAGGCACATAGATACATGTACACATATGCACACATATACATACATACAAGAGAGACATACAGACAGAGACAGAGACACCAGACAGACAGATGACAATTCTTGAGACAGGATTTCATTTTGTAGTCCATGATAACCTCTACTCTGTGATCTTCCATTCCCTACCTTTTAACTACTAGGGATTTTAGCTATGTGTCATCACACAAAACTTTCCATTTGGATAATCTTTAAAGCAGTGCCTTCTGAACCATGTAGTGGTGGCGCATGCCTTTAATCCCAGCACTTGGGACACAGAGACAGGCAGATCTCTGATTTTGCAGCTAATCTGGTCTACAGAGTTCCAAGACACACCAAGGTCTACACAGAGAAACCCACCCCTACCCACCTCCAAACCAACAAAAAAGTGTCTTTTCAGGCTTTTAATTACTTTCTCGTTGTATTGTCACATTATTGAACTATATGAATTGTTTGTCTGTACTTGCTATAAGTCATGTATGAGGTGTATACATACATGTTTTGAAAATACTTTCACTCAATCCATAAATATTTTTTTCTTTTCTTGGCAGTATATTTGAAGGAGCCTATTTTGTATATAAAAAAGTGTGCCTATCACAAGATCATAAGGATTTTCCCCTAGAAGTAATGTAATCTAAGCTTTTACATTCAAGCTTATTATTCATTTGAGTTGCCTTTCGTATTTATCATGAGTCAATAACTTTGTGTGTGTGTGTGTGTGTGTGTGTGTGTGCATTGTAGCCAACTGTTGTAGCACCTTCTGATACAGAGTCTTTCTTTCACACTAATTTTTATAAAAAATCAGCTGACCATATAAATATGATTCTATTTCTAGACTCTATTTAGTTTTCCTAAGTCATGTCTATCAGTAGGCTAACATCACATCATACCCTCTTGGTTCTGACAGTTTCATGGTAAAACTTGACATTGGTAGGTATAAGTTCTTTAATTTTGTCTTTCTACTTAAGTATTAGATTTGACCTGTCAATCTATATGGATTAGCTTAAGTTGATTCTATAGAATTAGTACAGAATCCCTGGCACCTTTGTCTTGATGATTTTAACTCACTAATGCATGGCTCTGCATTATGCCTGTAAAGTGTTTCTTCCAGCCATTATAAGGTATACTGCAGAGGTTGTACATTTATTTTTGGTAAATTTATTCTGATCCCTTCTGGAATCTTCTGGAGTACATTCTGTATCCCACCTTGAGGAGCCAGGTTCATTTGGTATGTTAGGCACTACCTGAACTACAGCTTGTAATGAAGAAGCCCTGTAGGGATTGCTTCATTTGTTTCCTTTCCTTCGGGAATTATAATCTTCAAATAAACACTGTTGAATTCAGTTTTTTTTGTTTATTTGAAGTTAGGAAGCTAAGCATGGACCCTGTGAAACCATCCTGGCCAGAAACAGAATTCTCATCTGTCACTGAAAGGTTTACCAATTCAACACAAATAGAACACATTTATGAAGAAACCTTTCAAAAATGACCCTCAAGCATGCTGCAGATTTCAACTTTATATTAATCAATCTCCTGTGAATTTGTTCCTTCCCTCTCAAAGTAGTCGTTTGCAATTCTTGGTCTTGTTTCTGATTCAACACTCATTCCTTCTTGTGGTCTACCAAAAGCACCATTGCATTTTACCAGCTCTTAAATTTCAAGTTAGTTGTGAATTTTTACATTTTTTCACTCTTTCTGCTCCAGTATGAAGTCCTGCATTAAAAAATTCCCTTGCCTTGCTTTCCCTTACAACCACTGTGCTCAAAATCTTTCTCATCTCACATCTTTATTACATAAGTATTCTTAACATGGACCTCCACTCTAGCCCCCAACCAACTCATCTTGCATCAAATGTCATTCACTGCCTTCCAAAGTTTATGAGAAAATGCTAAATACTTAGATTGGATTGTGTCCCATAAATAGTCAAACTTTATCCAACTTTTCATAGTTTGTTTTTCACTAGGATTTTCTTCATTATATCTTCCTATTTTGAATTTTTTACTCATTTCATCTTTCTTAATATTCCCCATTACGGAAGATTTTTATTTAATTCCCACTTAATGATAAAAAGATGCTAACATTAACCTTTCTTAAAAATTGGGACTGATTATTTACTTCTGAAATTAGCATTTAATCAGACAATGTCTTAAATTGTTAGCCATTAATTTGAGATGGTCTTCCAGCTACTGTGAGTCATTTTACTGAAGCAATCATATCCATATACAACATGCAGAGCAGGCAGGAAGCCAAGTGCTAACATTCAGCATCCAGCCATGAGTTAATCTTTCTCTCTGTCTCTCAGATTGCTTTTTCCTTCTTATCCTTTACATTAGTTCCTATATTTATTATGCCTGTAGATGCATCAAACTGAGAAGGAGAGACAGAAGGGGCAATAAATGTTCAATACCTTGTAATAAAAAAGTAGTGGCATAAAAATGCAGATTATTTTTTAGGTTTGGGTAGAAACATGCAAACTCCCAAGGAGTCTGCTGCTTCTATGTTTATTGTAAGATTTATAAACATACTGATTAAGATCAAAATGTCCTCATGGTCTTGTCTGTGTTAAGCTCTGGGCTCCAAGAATGTGAGGTGTGTGATTTAGGCACTTTGTTCATTAGATTCTTTATGTTTCAGATAGGGATAACATTAATTTCCACTTAACAAGGCTGCTGCAAGTTTTAAATGAGATAGTCCTCATGTCAAGTAGGCTGACGGAAGAAAAATATTATGTCTTGATGATATTTTCAACCTGCTCTAATTGGAAAAATGAAAAAAATTTTTTCAATGAAACGGAGTCTTGTGCTGTTGATTAAGAATATGACTCAACTCAGGCTACCATTCAAAAAGGAAAAAAAAAAGGTCTGGTAGCTGAGTGTAGTAGTGCAGGCCTGCCGTTTGGTGCTTGTAAGTTTGGGGCAGGAGGACCACTGAGAGATCAAGGCCAGCCAGGGTCACACAGTAAATTCCTCCCTAGCCTGGGCTTCAGAACACTACACCATCTCAAAAAGCAAAAAGAAAGGAACAAAGAGCAAACAAAACAAAGAGTCGTTGCCTGGAACTGACTTGAAGAACTAGCGGACATAACTTAATTTTGAATTGCTTTGCTCTTCTGCTTCATCATTTCCTGCTCTGTTCCCCCACCCCGGTTTCTATCAGGCTGATTTTATGACTTGACCAGTCACATGAACTCGGGCATATTTCACATCCCCAGTGTGATTCTCCCATACATGCATGTGCACACATGTGTGCACGCAGCCCACACAGGAGATGGAGAGAAACAGAGAGAACGGGAGGACTTGGAAATTTCATTGATTGACGCACAGAACTCAATAAGATACAAAGAAAAGGTCAAGGTAGTCGTTTGAGTACACAGAAGATGTGTAACACTTTGCTTAGTTTTCCTCTGTGTGTTTCTAATCCCACTCAAACACACTTGTTTATGTGTCTGTAGCCACCATTTACCTGCGATGATCTGTGCCATTTCACACTGGCTTTGCCGCACACACATCACACACTGCTAGGGTAGAAATTAGTATTCAGTTAAGCCTGAACCCAGTGATCCATCAGCAGTACCTAGGTCACACAATCATAATTTTAAGTAGAAGTTAAGGTGGAGGCTGTTTCCATCAAAAATTTAAAAAATTTAGAGATGCTTAATACTTACCGGAAAAGACATCTAGGTCAGATTTCATCACCTCTAATTTTCATGTTCCTATTTTTGTTCTCACCTTGCCTTGTTCCATCAAACTATCATCAAGCAGTACTGATTAAGCATTCTCCCTGCCTACAGCTGTGTTAGGATTTTGATGACATAAATTAATTGGTTATGGTTTCAGTCATTTGGAAAATTTCTGAAAGCTATTACTTCTAAGTCTTTTCATATTTTAATGTTAAACCATGTTAAATGTTAAAACATGTAGTGAAGCCCTGTTTAATCACAATATTTTTATTTAGTTCATTTACAGATAAGATGCTGGGGATAGTTTTATAATTCTACAACCTCGTCCTCTACAACAGTCAATGGCATAAAGCTTGGCCACAGAATGTTTATAGCCACATGATACAAAATTAATTCAAAGATATGTTGGAAGTACAAAATTTTAAAAAATGAAGTGTCCAAGTGGGGCCTCATCCCATTAAAGGGTAAGTAAATACAGTTCAGTTAAAGGTCTATAAAATATTATTCCTTCCATTTTCCCTCTAAATGATGTACATGTGATGTGCATGTTTTAATGTGTGAGTGGTGAGTGTGTTCATATGAATGCCGTGTTCACAGAGACCAGAGGCATTAGATCTTGGAACTGGAGTTACAGGCAGTTGTGAGTTGCCCAATGTGGGTACCAGGAACAAATTTGGCTCTTCTGCAAGAACAGTATGCTCCAAATCACTGAGCCATCTCACCAGCCTCCCTTTCTCTTGTTTGTACATAAGAAAGAATGGGTGATGTTTCAAGTAATGCACAACGAAGTAGCTGGGGGTCATTATTATGTATTAAGTCCTGTGTTTTATATTCATCATTTCATTTGTGAAAAGGAATTCATTAAACATATCACTTTCTTCATGCTTCAGATTGAAAATGAAAACTTGAGAAAATGTAAAACACATGCATAGCAAGGATTTAAAGCATCCATTCTTTCCTGAACCTGGTGTAGAAGAGTGCCCTATCTATATAAGAGATGCCTCTCCACGTCAATGGAACAGCAAAGGACAAGATCGAGAGCAGCTTTGCTATGCATAGTAGTGGTAGGTAATTCATTTCTATGATGTACCTTATAGTTTATGTGGAATAGTCATTTTGTTTTCATTAAAAGCTCCCATTGTTCCTGTGGGTTGATATCATCATTATTATTCTGATTTTACAAATAAAGCTGTGAAGAATGGATACAGAGCCTGGCAAAATGAGCAGAAGTTAAAACTCAGGTCTGTGATCCAAACCCTGTTAGTATCTATGTCTATGCATTTTATGCTTCACACAAAAACATATTCACTTTTGAAATCAATCATTTTCAAGGTATAAATTGAAATTTCTCTTATAAATTTTTCCTTTGTAAAGAAAGAAACTGAAAGACAATCTTGGTAGATTTGAATTATGTGATACCTGCTATGGTTTGGATCTTGAAACCATAGATTCCTGTGTGAAAATGTGGTCCCTAGCTGATGAGGGATGGTGGAAGGTCTTGGAACCTGAGGAGATAGAAGGAAATGAGTGTTGTTGCTTTTGAAGTTGAAGCTGGGATGCCCACACTTCCCTCTTGCTCTCATTTGCTTCCTGACCCAGCTGGAGTGAAGATCTTGTTCTACATACTCGCTACAGTGATGTGCTTGCTGCCTCCCTACAGGCCCAAAGGCAACTGTGGCAACTACCATGGATGGAAACCTCTGGAACTATGTGCCAAAATACGTCTTGTTCCTTCCAAGGTGATTTCCACAGGTATTTTGTTACAGGCCAGGAAGCCAAGTAAAACAGCCTAATGTTCCATGACAAGAACATTTCTGAATTATGAAGGTACAGTATTTAGAGACATTGACTCATATACAGGGGACATCATCACATGTTTCTAGGCCTAGACCAGGTGTTCTGATGGAAAATGGAAATATACAGATAAGAATGCTACAGCAAAACTTTAACCTGTATGCTATAGAAGAGTTAGGAAAATAGAACTGAAAAGGGAAGCTATCAGATTACCCCAGGCATAGGATTAAACTGTGGGAGTTCCATCCTGGAGGCACTAGGGATCTTTCCCGTCTGTCATCATCGATGAGGAATTAGCAGTGGCTTCTCTCTCTAGAAATACCTTTTCCATTTGTAGTGAATGCTAGCTTCTCACCACACATTGAGTAGGCAGTATCTCCATGCAACTCCATGACTTCAGTCACTTTCTTCAACAAAAATATGTTGTAAATTAATCATTATTAGATTGGCTCTTTTGTTTGTTTTTAAGCAAAATATAAGATTAATGTAGGGGGAGGCAGGGAAGAAAAGCCAAGGAGCTAGCTACCCCACTTGATTTGAAGGTTAAACCTGATTTTGGTGCTGGGAAATCTTCATTCACTTAGTCATTCAATAAACATTCAGTGAGTTAGCTTCTACAGAGTAGGAGATGTTATCCTTGTTGTGAGCCCATGTTATCCATGACTGGCCGCTCTTTTTTCACCAGAGCTTCCTAAAATGTTGGGAACTATTGTGATCAAATATACTTTATCTGGGTATTTGGGAAGAGGGACAATGAGCAAAAGGAGACTGGAGAGGAGAAATATCTTTAGGGAAGGATTATGTTTGGTTTTCTCAACTGGGTTTCTGGGCAAGGTGAAGGAGTGGGGTGGTAAAAAGTGATCAACTAGTCTTCAAACATTAGAGCTGAGGGTATATGAAAGTATAGACAATGAAGGTGATTTGAGATAGATGTTGAAGAAGGAGGAAGAGAAGAAGGAGGAAGAGGAGGAGGAGGAGGAGGAGGAGGAGGAGAAGAAGAAGAAGAAGAAGAAGAAGAAGAAGAAGAAGAAGAAGAAGAGATAAAAATCTGATTCAAGTGAGGCTACCTCCAATAGAAGGTAAGAGTGTTTGCTGTCTATGAGGACCTGAGTTCAAATCCCCAAAATTCAAATCACCAGGATCCATTTAAAAAGTTAGGTATAGCCATGTCTGTCTGGAATCCCAGCACTGGTATGTAGGGCAGAGACAAGAATATTACTGGGCCTTGTTGGCTGCCAATCTAGCTGCAAGTTCAGTGAGTGACCCTGTCCTCTGTCTCAAGAGAGTATAGTGGACACTGATAAAGCAGAAAATTAAGTGTCCTTCTTTGGCTTCTGTGACTGTTCACACACACACACATACACCCACCCACACACACACACGCACACACGCATGCACGCACGCATGCATGTACACAAGCACACACAGATTTGAAGGCAGAGAAGACAGTGGGAAAACAGTTGTTTTCCAGCAACCACATTGACCTATGATAATATTCATACTAGGAGAATGTAGATATCTAAAAATTAATAACAGACTGGAAAATAAGTGGTTATCTTCTTCTCTATTTCTTTGTTTACAAATATTCTGTGCAAGGTAGGCCTATCAGACAAATGAAATGTTATCCTGGGAGCTACTGAAGAATTAAACCAAGCAATGTGAAAGGATGCCTTTTTTCCCTGGGCTGGGACTTTCTTCAAGGTAATTCATCTTCTTGTGATATTATTTTTTACTTAGAGTTGCTTAGATGACAAGCATTGATTACATAATGAGACTGTCACTCCGGGAAGATATTTCCTCTACTTTTATGTTGTCACTAACTAAGGAAATAATGAAAATATGAGGGAGAGACATAAATTCCTTGAACTCTGGGACTGAAATGTGTAGAAGTAGAAGAAGCATATTGTACAATAAATAAGAGCTTGGAGTAAGAGTCCCCAAAGAGTCCTGAGGGTCCTTGCTATGTAAGTCCCCAAAGGGTCATTTGGAGTTCCTGAGGGTCCTTGCTATGGACTGAATAGTATGTCTTAAGTTCTTGCCAGAAGGTTGGGTCACCATTGTGGCAGTGCAAGACTGGTCCTTAGAGAGCTGGTTGGGTGGTCAAAGCTCTGCCTTTAGGAATGGATTAATACTGTCATACAGGGATCAGCTTTTCATATCAGAGTGACTTTGTATAAAAGGGAGTATTTTCTTCCCTGTTATGCTTTCTGTGTCTTGCCTTTCTCTTGAGATATGTTCTTCTAAAAGTAGTCTCTCACTGTGGTTTTGATTTATTTTCTTCTCATGTGTGTATTGGACATTTGTCTACTTACCTTGGAAAGATATCTCTTCAAATCTATTTTCATTCCAAAATTTTGCTGCTTTTTACTTTAGGATGTAAAATTTCTGTATTCATCTTAAGATAACATTGAATTATCATATATATATATGATTGGTAAATGTCTCTCACATTCTATGTACAGTCTTTTGACCTCCCTGACAATGCCATTTGAAGCATAAAAAATTTAATTTTCATGAAGTCCAATTTATCTAAGTTTTCTTTTCCTGCTCATGCTTTTGATGTCTTCTCAAAGAGATCATGTAATCTAGATCACAAAGATTTATGGCAGTGTCTTCTTCTAGCAGCTGTATACTTTAAACTACATACTTTAATTGTGCACATTTAAATCTTTGATCTGTTCTGAGGTCATATTTGTATATGGGTGTTTAGACGACCATGTACGTGGATATCTGTTATTATTGGGCATTATTCATTGAAAGGTTAGCATTTCTGATTTTAAATTATTTCAGAATTCTCGTTAGAGGTTAGTTGATCATCAACATAACTTGCTATTTTTTCTGAGTCTCAGTTCTACTTCATTTTATGTCTGTGTCACACTGACTTGACTAATATAGATTGTGGTAAGTCTTAACCCAAGAAAGTATGCATCTTGGGATGTTGAGAAAATACTGAAATTAGCATTTAAGGTATAGATTTTTGCTATCTAAATTAGAAGATTATTCATATATTTTATATCTTAAAAGTAAATATTAAATCTTAAACAGCTGCAACTATCACTAACATGAATAATAAAGAAAAATATAATCATTACAGAAAAAGAATCTTTGGAAGCAGATAAAAGGATAGGCAGTGAACAACAACAAAATTTTTATAAGTTTAAAGAATAGTGAGAAGTATGAAAAAACATAAAAGATGAGCAGATGTAAATTTTTCATAAATACCTACAAAAGAATTCATTATCATCTAATAGTTGATGAAGAGTAAGATGGGTTCCAGGAGAAATTAGCCCTGGTTGACTAGTCTGAAAGTAGTTACAGAGAAAAGCTGTTGAATATAACCATATCAGAACATTTCTGTATTCCTCCAGGCGGAGGAAAAACATACAAAGAATCTGAGTGTCCAGAAGAGAAAACAGTAAGTTTGGCTTCCGACTTCTCCCGAACCATGTCCAGTGCTAGCAACTGTGAAGCAAGATCTACAATGTTCTCACAGAAAAGAACATCATCATATTTCACGTCCAGCTATACTACTGTGCAGTAATAAAAACCAAGGAAAATATTTTTAAACATATAAAAAATCAAGGAATATTGGTTCTATAACAATGTTATCAAAACTACCACAGGAAAGACTTCTGCCAACTAAAATATGAATTTAGACGTTGAGACAAGTAGAATTGTGGGGAGGAGAGACTCTAATGATGGACATCTCTGGGGATGATGGTTATAGGATTGAGTATGAAAATTATATATTCTGAAATTATAGAAATTCTATAACTATAAGATTAGTTACATGAGAAAATAGAGAAAGTAGCATATGGGTTAAGACTGATTTATAAGAGGTCATACTTTATAATAATTTAGAAAAGTCAACTATGTAAATACAGAAAATTGATGGAGGAAGACAAGCCTGAGACAGAACTTGTTCTAACTTTAGCATGTTGGGAAAGGGTTCTGCTATCTCTCACTGGGGTAGTTGGTTTTGCTGTGTTTTGCTTTTGTTTTTTAATCACATGTGAATCTGCAATGGCTTCTGCTGCGTCTGTTTCTATAGAAGTCAAGTTCAGGATTATTGCCCTCATCCGGGGTCCAGTGTGCAGGCTGAAGCAACCTGTCTCATACAAGGAGTTCAGAGTAAGTACATTACATTTTATTAATTCTTACCTGGAAACAGTAGAAGGTAGAATCTACTGCAGATAATTAGAGCAGAAATGATGTGTATAGAATCATTGGCCATCATGGAGCTTAAGATACAAGCTAAGCTTCAAGAACAGCTCTTTAAACCATACCCAAATACAGAACTAGTAAAGGCATCACGGGCATCAGTACCAGACTGCTTTTGTGGCCCATTCAGCATGAGGATGCTCCTCTGGCTAAGCTTGTGGATTTTGGTTGGTTCAGGATGTTGTTGGTGATTATGCACCAGAGCTCCATTATTTCCGGGTGAGATGTTTGTTTTCACATTAGATGCACCAGATGTCAATTGAAAGTCCTGATGTAAACTAGGTTGTTGGTCAGATGTGTCCATGACGTCAAGATTTGCTTCTTTTTATGCCCACAGACAGGTGGCATTGATGGCACAGAACTCGAGATTAGAAATCCGAGAAATCTAATGAATTTCTCCCTCTACTCAGCTTCATACTTAATTCTCCTCAGCATGCATCCATCACTCAACTCCCTTTTCTTCGTTACTTTTGTTCACCGAAGAGCCGAGCCAGAGACTTCTGAAATTTTGGAGATAAATGATTACACTGTGGGATAGAAGAGAGTTTTACTTACTGTCACAAACCTGTGGATGTAGAGAACTTTTTGTTTTAAACTAATGCTTATGACTATTAAAACTGATCTATGAAGCAGAAATGAATCTCAAATCTGTGTCAGATGTCATGTAGCACAAATACAATGGAAGGCATTTCTCACATCGTAAGGTTGTGTCCCCAGCTTTGTCCTTCCTTGGTTGTCCTCTAGGGATTTTCTGGTACACATTTCTCTTCTTCCTCAGGAGCTCCTCACTTTCTCACATGAGCTGCCCACAGATACCTGACTTCCCTAACCTGATTATCTTAGTGCTTTGTACCCTGCTTCTGGATCATATTGTAGTGCATTTTACCTTACTTTGGATCATTCCTTGGGGGTAGTGTTTTGTTTTTCACAACAAAGCAGGTTCGTTGAATCATTTTTGAAAACCTAAAACAAGCTTGCTTCACTATGCAAATTTGTTCCCTTCCACATAGAAGTGAAAGTCCCATTGCCAGAATGTTACATCAATATGATCATTTTTACTGTCAGAATGTATGGCAATGTGACCATTTTTATCTGTCTGATACAGTTATAATGAAAATTTTAATGAGCCTCATACAAAGAAAGAAAAGGTAAAATTAACATTTGCTATTAGTTACACAAATGGAAGCAATTTTGACCTGCATACCTGATCTTGGCTTTATAGTTACAAAAATCACTAATAGGCTTTAGTGTACATTTTATTCCTTGATATCCAAATATCCAAATGAAATTCCTTCTTTTTGATCTTACTCTTACATAGGTCACCTTTCTTCTTTGATCTACTATCGTAACATCTTCAAAAAGAGTCCCTGCTACCGTCTGATCACTGAAGTCTCTAGAAGGAAATAGGAGGATTGCCTCAGCACCCACATCTTGCTAGTTCCCCAAGGAGAGCATTAGCTGTGGAACAGTGAAATGGGGCTGTTTTCTCCAAAGCAAGTAGATGATCTGTAATGGCAAAATGGCAGCCCCCCTTACCATGGAATCAAAAACAGGGTGCAGTTAGCATTCCCCCCACTCTCTATTCCCTTTAAACTGTCCATTAGAAGACTAAAAAGTATCTACCGAGAGTCAGTGGATCACAAAGATCAAATTCATCCTTTGACTCATTATTTATGTGTTTATTGACCGATGAGAAGAGACTTAGGATTATTCTGGCGGGCTCAAATCTTCCTACTTCATGAAACTTCGCCACGAGTTGTCTCTACACATTTGAGATTGATTCACTAAGACACAAGATGACCATCAGAGACACCACAAATGCCATTTAATAACATAGATACCTCTCCAGCTAAGGAGACACCACTTCTACATAAAACACAGTGTAGGACAGGGAACCCTCTCTACTACAATATAAGCAATGAGACCTATGGGCCATTTACAGACTCCTGTAAGTTGCACATCATACAGTTTGGAGGACTGTGTGCACTGTATTGTTCTGCTAATATCCACCCATAAGTCTTATACATACCACAGAGCACAATTTTTTAAAATATGAAAGTGGTGGCATTTAGTCCATGTCATAGCTAATCTTAATTGTCAGCTTGACTGCATTGAAAGATACCTGGAGAACTGGCAAAGCACATTTCCTTGTGTGTCTTTGAGGATGTCTCTAGAGACGATTGCTATGTGGGTTAGTGAACTAAATGAAGACACCCTCTCTACATGGACTGTACCATCCATTAGGGTGGCATTCTGAAGGAAATAAACAAAGGCAGAAGAGAGGACTAATGTAAGTCAATCTAATAAATCTCTCATCTAATTGTATCTATTATCTTCATCTTGCTCCTCTCCAGAAGCTCTGACTCATGTGTTCTATAGATCTTCATTTATTCATATAGACTGCCTACTCTATTCTATGCCATTAACAAGCTCCCTGAGATTCCCCTGTGAACAAGAAATATGTCCTGGAGAGTGTGTTCTAAGGATGGTGGTGAGGTGGAGGTAAAGAAACACATATATGGATATATTGTATTGCTATATTAAGAAGTTATAGAAAGCATTCTATAGGAAGGAAACAGTAGAGTAAGGCAACATGGATCATGGTTTGACATCAGTATTGAGATGGACAATGTAGCTCTGCATGGATACATTGTAATCAATACATAAGTTCCTTATGAAGAAATCAATGTTTTATTCAAACACAAATCCCTGTTGCACCTATCATACTGCACACATGTAGAAGATAACTGAAACTATTTGTTGACTTAACTTGTCAGATGCAGTCTACACCATGACTACTGACTTTTCTGGGTTTACATATAAGCAACTGAACTTCAGTGCTTTTCTGACTCTAAGACATTCTTCTGATTCTCCTTAAAAAACACTCAGCACATACTTATTAAAAAAGAACTCATTATAAAATAATGTTCTGTGTCATTGCCTTTAATTTAGCTAATGTCTTCACTGAAGATTAGGTCATGGTGCTATTTCTAGTGTCTCACAAATTTCAGCATAGAAACAGGCATCTGCCACATGCCCAGGATGAAAGAGGGAACAAACCATAGGTTGGTGTTCCTAAGTGGACATAGTTCTGTTAGACAAAAAGGGGTGCATTCTGCTAAGAAACAAGGTTGTGATCTACATCTATCATCTATCTATCTATCATCTGTCTACCTATCTATCTACCTATCTATCATCCATTTCTATCTACTATCTATCTTTCTATCATCTACCATCTATCCTCTATCTATCATCTGTCTCTAACATCTGTCTGTCTGTCATTTATCATCATCATTTATCATATATTTATCTACCTCTATCTATCATTCCTAAGCCCCAAATTAACAATCCAGAATGCTCGAAATCCAAAATATTTTAAGCATCACCATAATACCACAAGTGGAAATTTCCATGCCTGACCTCCTGTGATCAGCCACTGTTAAAACACAAGCACACTAAAGCTTTATTAAAATTTCCTTTAGACAATGTGTACAAGGTGACCATGAAATGTAAGTGAACCTTGTAGTTAGATGTGGGTACTATCCCTGAGTGATATTGTTATATATATGCAAATATTATATTGTTATCTCTATGCAAATATTCCTGACCTCAAACAAGCAAACAAAGAAACAAAAAACAAATCCAAATCATTTTTCGTGATAATCAACTTGGATAAGAGATATGCAAACAGTAGCAGCTCTGAAGGCGGAGTTGCTTTTGACTTCTGATTATAAAGATGGAGACATTGATGATGCTATCAGTCTCTGACTTTATCTAACCTGGTACATTTTCTTTTATGGAGACAGTAACAGGCAGGTGACGGACTCGTTGTCAAACTCTTCTAATTAGGGTAAAGGTTACATTGCTGTTACAGAATGATTTAAAATTCAGTGTTTCAAAGAAGGTAGAGAGGCCCATGCAGGTCGCAAAATAAAAGAGACTCAAATTCAATTTTTAAAAGTTCGGAGGTAAACATCACAGACAGCACCTATCCTAATGGTCTATTCATGAGAAGTAGCCCTCTGTAATCATATCTGAGGTGTAGGGGACAGAGGGACAGAGAGTTGATATATATTCCTGAATTAATTTTACGGAAGGGGAGAATATATTGTAGTGGGCAATTTACATTTTCCCGTGTAATCTCTCAATCCATACAGTATAAGAAGGGGTGTGTTTGTGTTTGCTTGTAACATATTCGTGCACATGGAAAGGCCATTAAAGGATTAAGCTAAGATAAAAATGCCATCTCTTAGCTACATCTCTGGTGTCCCCTGAAAGCTCACATAAGGCAAATGAGTACTCCTCATGCTCCAGTTCTAAATGATAAGCTGGCTTTGGTAAATTCCATTTGTTCTCCTATGATTTCCTGTGAAGAACAAGAGAAGGCACTATTCATGACATTATAGGCTTAGAAAAAAATCCTCATATACTAAAAGGACCATCTAATTTCACTCTATATATCTCGCTTTGGCAGGAAATGAACTCTCCCAATGTTTTCACAGCAGCTCTTCAGTCACATGTAAGCCAGGGCTTCTGTGTCACACAGGTAACTGTTGCCATCAGCTCTGTTCCTATGTACACTGCTGTGCATGTTGATATTTGCGAGATCCTTTAGGAATGCAAGAAAATCTCAGACAATATTGCTGCAAATCAAATGGCTTACTTCAGTGACTCACTCTGCTGGCAGATAAATTACTTTTTGGTTATAAAAGCAATCCAACTTGTCTTTTTACTCTGTAAAGCTGATCTGAACAAGGAAAGTATGTCTTTCATAGATCTCTGGTGGGGAATACTTCAGATGACCCGGTTCAATAGCAAAAAATATCAAAACCAGTAAAGATGGGTTTGACAACCTGGAGATAGATCACCAGGAAACCAGTGGGTCAAGAGCCTGAGTGGAAGTTAAGCCCTTACCTCTATTTAAGCTGTCTCTTGCTAGAGAGTCCTTATAATTTAAATCTGAAGTCACCAAATGGAATTATTCATTGAGTGTAATCAGACAAAAACAGGAACACGAGCGGAAAGAGTGTACAATAATAGAGGTGGGGGTAGCTCCTTTGAAAACCCTGACTTAGAATTTGTCTCTGCATACAGCTGTTCTTTTTATGTGCAGTCTTATGTCAGAGAGACAAAATGTCCTTCAGGAAAGCAGAAGCCATATTTTGTGGAGTACAAGCAATCCAATGGCTACACCGGGGTTCCAGGCATCGGCAAATCACTTGTGCTTTTGGAGCCCGGTTTTCTCGTAGGTAAAACAGGAGATGCTTCTCCCTGTTCCTATGGATATCACTACAATTAAATGGAGGCAGTGTGTGTGAACGTGCCTTGTGCACGTTGTGAACATGCTTCATGTGCAGAAAGTTGGGCATTATCTATTATTTTAGAGGTATCCAACGTCAAACAATTTCTGAATCTGGTCCCTGGATTGCCAACAGCCTGCCTCTGCCCTCCAAACACTCTTTGCTTCATCCACCTACTCTCACTTCCTTCTTACCTCACTCCTGTTTCCTGTCCATAGCATCCACAAAATCCTTTCTCTTGTCTCCCGAAGACCCTTGCTAGCCTCACCTCTGGGCCTCCCAGGTGAAGACGGCCATTGCCACTCCCTTGTTAATCTAATGACCTTTCAGCTCAGTTGCGTTTCATGAAGGCAACTCATACTTTGAGGTAAATGTGGTTTTTTTTTTCTCCCCACTGGTTTAATTTTAGCTCCATGAGCCAGATGAGAGTCAAGTCACACAAGAGGTCACAGGCACAGTGGGGGAGAGACAGGAGCTCAAGAACACATTCCTCTGGAGTCGTCGCCTGTTTAATTTTCTACTGCAAAGAGCAATGCTGCAGTGATTTTAAAGGGAACTCAGGAAGAGGTAAACAGTGCCACTCTCTTGGGATGGCATGGCTGGGTGTGAATAGCACAAAACACAAGTCAGCTTCAATAAATTGGTTTCACAGATGATTTGTAAAATTCTCATTTCTCCCAAATTTTAACAGAGTACCTCTGGACACAGGAAAAGCAAACTTCACCTCATCTCTCTACTGTGCTATGAAGGCCTAGAAGGGATTTTTCTCTTATTATTATGAAGATTAAATATAGTACACGATGCGAAATACCCTGCTGTGGGGTGATTAACAAAGAATTATTTGATTCCAGAGATACCTCATTGCTGAAGACTCAAGTGTAGACAAAATCTCAAGAGCATCAGAAATCCAGCGTCCTTTGGAAAGTGAAATTCCCTTTTGCGAACATCCAAGACTGGCAGAAATTCACCCAATAAAGGGACTGCCCGATAAGGGACAGCAAGCTCACAAACCCTCCAAGTAGTTTATTTGTTTTAACAATAGCTTGAGTTCTTCGTATAAGGTAGTTTATGAGCCATCAAAACCCACGTATCAATAAACCCTGTCCATTAATCACACATCTTCCTACTGCAATGTGAAAGACAGAGCCAGACCAGGGTTAGTTCATGAAAACCCATTAGAAGAATAAAAGCGATACCATGCCACACACCAGTCTCCTTTGGATTCTTTAAAAGATTCCTTTGTAAGTTGAGTTCTCTAAGTCTCCGCTAGTCTTTTAGTCTTTTTAAAAACTGTATAGTGGTTAAGAGCGCTGGCTGCGTTTTCAGAGGACCCAGCTTCAATTCCCAGCACCCACATGGCAGCTCACAATGATTTGTAACTCCAGTTTCAGGTCATCTGGCACCCTTGCACAGACACACAAGCAGGCAAAACATTAATGCGTATAAAACATCTTTTTGAAAGACCCCCAAACAAACAAACAAAAAACTGTACAGGGATCAGATTTGAATATGGTACTTTTGAAACGTATATGGTTGTGTTTATCAGTTGTGACATTTCTGTACATGTATGCATAGTATGCTCATTGTCAATTGCTGGTTCTACTATGTCCTGCCATCTTCCTCCCCTTTCCCTCCTCTTCTTCTTCCTGTCCTTCAGTCCTGTTGTCTAATAGTCACTTTTTATTTACAAGGATTTTTTTTAACTTATGATAGAAAATGTGGGATACTTTGGCATCTGGCTAACATTGTTCAACATGATGATTTACAGTTCAGTCTTTCTGCAAGTGGCGTAATTTTTCTTTATGGATGATAATCATTTCTCTCCTCTCTCTCTCTCTCTCTCTCTCTCTCTCTCTGTGTGTGTGTGTGTGTGTGTGTGTATGTGTGTACTGTGCTGTCTTTACCTATTCCTATGGTGATAGGGCCAAGGCTTTGTCACTATCTTTTATTTAACAAATCCCATTTTATTTTATTTCTTTTCTATTTTTAATTTAAATTAGAAACAAGATTGTTTTACATGTCAATCCTAGTTCCCTCTCCCTCTCCTCCTCCCCTGCCCCCCACTAACTCCCTATCCCATTCCCTATCTGCTCCCCAGGGAGGGTGAAGCCTTCCATGGAGGATCTTCAAAGTCTGTCATATCCTTTGGAGCAGGGCCTAGACCCTCCCCTGTGTGTCTGGGCTGAGAAAGTATCCCTCTATGTGAAATGGGCTCCCAAAGTCCATTTGTGTACTAGGGATAAATACTGATCCACTACCAGAGACCCCACAGATTGCCTAGGCCTCCTCACTGACATCCACGTTCAGGGGGTCTGGATCAGTCCTATGCTGGTTTCCCAGCTATCAGTCTGGGGTCCATGAACTCCCCTTTATTCAGGTCAGCTGTTTCTGTGGGTTTCACTAGCCTGGTCTTAACCCCTTTGCTCATCACTCCTCCCTCTCTGAAACTGGATTCCAGGAGTTCAGCTCAGTGTTTAGCTGTGGGTGTCTGTTTCTGCTTCTATCAGCTGCTGGATGAAAGCTCTAGGATGGCATACACGGTAGTCATCTATCTCATTATCAGGAAAGGGCATTTAAGGTAGCCTTTCCATTATTGCTTAGATTGTTAGTTGGTATCATCCTTGTAGATCTCTGAACATTTCCTAGTGCCCGATTTCTCTTTAAATCTATAATAGCTCCCTCTATTAAGGTATCTCTTTTCTTGTTCTCCTCTGTTCTTCCCCTGACTCAACCTTCATGCTTTCTCCTGTCCTCCTCTCCCCTCCTCTTCTCCCCCTCTCTCTTCTAGTTCCCTCTCCCCTCCCCCCATGTTCCCAATTAGCTCAGGAGATCTTGTAACTTTCCCCTTTTCTGGGGGACCATGTATGTCTCTCTTAGGGTCCTCCTTGTTTCCTGGCTTCTCTGGCGGTGTGGCTTTGTCACTATCTTAGCTGCTGTAAATAGTGCTTCAGCATATAAGCATTTGCAGATCTATTAATATGCCGCATGCTATGCTGATTTCGTTTACTTTGGATAAATACCCAGATGTGGTGTAACTAGATCGCACCACAGTTGCAGCTTTTGCTTTTGAAGGCATTTCCATACTTTTCTGTATTGGTTATACTAACTTAGTTGTCTCCAACAGTGTCCAAAGGTTCCTTTTCCTCTGTTTCCTCACTAACACTTGCTATTGCAAAATTTTTTAAGTTAGTAGTCAGCCTAATAACTGATTTTAATTTTAATTTGCATTTCCATGATGGAAAAAGGCATTGAACATTTTTTTCTTGTAATTATTAGTTATTATTATTTTATTCTTCTCTTATACATTACATGCTGACTGCAGTTTTCCCTCCACCTAGTCTCTCCTTCCAACTCTCCTCACACTCCATCCACACCCTCCTCTGCCTTCCATCAGAGAAGAGCAGGCCTCCCAGTAGGAGAAAAATGATCCCACAAGCAGGAAAAAGAGTCAGAAACAAGCCCCAATCCCAGTGTTATGAGTCCCACAAGAATACCAAGGTACTCAGTCATAATATACATGCAGAGGACCTAGGTTAGATCACTAAATATTCTCCGGTCCCTTGAGCCCAGGTAAACTGCTTCCTCCCCCTCCTCTGCAGGACTTCCTGAGCTCCCCTTAATGTTTGGCTGTGGGACTCTGCATCTGCTCTCATCAGTTGCTATATAAAGTCTCTCTGGTCTCTTTGATGATGATTCTCCTAGGCTCTGGTCCTAGAACACTCTGCAGGCAGGACAGTATGTGGGTCCAAGGTTTTGTGGCTGGGCTGGTGTCTCAATCCTTCCACTTGAGTCCTTGCTTAGTTATAGAAGATGGTCAGTTCAGGCTCTGCGTTCCCCATTACTAGGAGTCATTGCTAGGGTTACCCTTTGTAGATTTTCCATTGTAATAGGTTTCTACCTTGCCATCCAAATGCCCCCAATGCCAGTCATTTCTTCCAGTATTTCCCACCCCCAACACCTGACCCCTCCTATTCCCATTCCCACACACCTCCAGTGTACTTGAGAAATCTATTTCTATTTACCCTTTTCAGGGAGATCCACATGCCCCCCTTAAGCCTTCCTTGTTACTTAACCTGTCTGGGATTGTGGGCCATAATGGCATGACTATCTTTTACTTTACACTAGTATCCATTCATAAGTGAGAACATACCAAACACTTTTTTTCATATATTTATTGGTCACTTGCATTTCTTTTGAGAAGTGTTTGTAGCATATATAAATCATAATAGCATGCCCCTGTAAAGATGATTTGATTTTACAGTCATCTTTGTCTTCCATATAGAGTGCCATGTATCCTGTATACAAACTAGGAAAATTAAGAGTTGATGATGCTTTTCAATTAAACATAAAATGAGATTATTAAAACGAAGACAACTAGACACCCAACATCAAAAGCTTCTGTCCACTCCTTATATTCTTCCTCTCTCTTTCAAATTTTCACCTACATGGCCTTTTCTCTTGTAGCTGATGGAATTTTGCGTAGCAGCACGAGTCTTGATGTATTGTGTATATTCTTGCCATTCCTTTGATAAACATGGTTTATGTTGCTCTATTTAAAATCTCATTATCTCACAAAGTTTAGTTAATTTATTCTGTAAAATTGCATTAAAAATAAGATTAACTATTAATACTGCCATGGTGCAATCCCTATTACTTCACTTGTGAGTGTTTTTGTTTATTCATTTATTTTTGTATTTTGTGTGTGTGTGTTCTTTTTCTTTATTTGTGGCTTTATCCATTTATCTGAGTAATGAGTTCTCATTTTAAAATTTCAAGGTAACTTTTTTGTAGATTTATTTATTTTGTATGTGTGCATATGCTTCCCCTGCATGTATACTATATGTTCTCTATGTATGCCTGCTGCCCACAGAGGTCAAAAGAAGGCACGAATTCTCTGGAAACTCGAGTTATAGACAGTTGTGAACAACAATATAGATGCTGGGGACTGAACCTGGGTCCGCTGCAAGAGCAACAAGAACTCTTACCTGCTCCGCCTCCATGTTAATATTTTTCATCAGACCCATAAAGTTTATAAATAGCTTTATCAGTAACTCCCCACTGCTGGCTATTTTTATGTCAAGAGTGATATAATTGAAAACCTAGTTATTTAACACCACCTAAATATCTTCTCTTAGGAAGCTGTGAATGAATATTTGAATTTCAGATAGTGTGTCTGTCTCCACACACTTAAGCATTTCTCCACAGAATCCAAATCAAAAGATGCAATCTGTCTGTCTTTGTATTGCTCAAATGAGTAATGTTAGTAGAGGTTGGTGGCTTAAGATGCTCATCTCCAGCTAGGTGTTGGTGGTGCACGCCTTTAATCCCAGCATTCAGGAGGAAGAGGCAGGCAGATCTCTGTGAGTTTGAGACAAGCCTGGTCTACCAAGAGAGTTCCAAGACACAATTAGAGAAACCCTGTCTTGAAAAACCAAAAAAGAAAAAAAAGATTGCTCACCTCCAACAACTGAACAGGATGGTTCCTAAGAACTCCCTTCCCCAGTGGATATCAGAAACCACTGAAATTTCTGAACCTCATATATACTGTGTTCTTTTATATATATACATAAATGTATAGTATATGAATACATAACTATGGTAAGGTTTAATCATGTATCTGATACCCTAGGAGATTAACAATGATCAACAATACAAAAAATATAATTGTTTGTTTTAATGATCTTTATGTGAGTATGACTTTCTCTCTCTTACGGTATGTTATGTGGTACTTACCTTTGTTCCAAGGGTGATGTAAGACACAAAGCCTACATGACAAGAATTGAGGTATGACATCATCCTTAAGGCACAACACTAGGTTGTTTTAATGGCCTTATGAAGTCAAGCATCAGGTTCTCGCCACAGGCAACCAGATAGCTAAGATAACACCTGAGTGACAATGGGCTGTTACATGGACAATATGGGTGTGCTGGACCAAGGAGATAGCTCACACTCTGGCTAGGACAGAGTGGGGCAGCACAACATTTTGTCACCCATCGTCACTTATGAGCTCCTCATTTCTGGAATTTTCCATTGAATATATTGAGACTGTGGCTAACCATGAGTGTCTGAGCCTGTGGACAATGAAACCACGAATAAAGAGGGGTGACATTATAAGTGAGTTGCTCAGACAGTGACCACTGTTGAACTTCCACATTATCGTTTATCAAGTCAACACATGAACGACTCAGAGTGGTTGTTTTGGTTG